GAGATATAATTTCTCGCTGGGTTGTCACAGTGCTTCCTCTGCCTGGTAACTTCAGTCCACTCATCACTCTTCCATGACGCGGAAGTGGACTTTTGGTTTCTGGATGCAGGTCCTTCAGTCCTTGTCTGACAACTGTAGTGTGCCCTGCACTGTTCAAAGTTGGTTTCAACGCCTGTCTTGACCACTAGCTTGTGAATTCCAGACTGACAAACATGGTGCCTTCTTTACCTCTTGTTCACAGTCCTCCACACAATACTAGGGACATAGTAGGTATTTCAAAATTGGTGGAGCAAGTCCTGAAAGACCATGAGAAAATTTTAGTCAAATCAAATAGTGCAGAGGCATCAACTAATATATTGCTCCCAAAGGGAGCTAGGACTGCTCCTTTCTGTATGGCATTTGAAAACGTAAATAAAGAGATGTATAATCAAAGGCAAAATAAAGACTAATTCAAGCACACACCCATTTCTCTGACTATTCTTTATATTAGAGCAAATTAATTCTAATGAAAGCCACCCAATGGCTCTTGCATAAGGACAACAAACAACTTAATGGGAAGAGATATCAAAGGTCATTTGTCAGTGTCCAGTATTAATCAGGAAGGACACATGGATTTCAAATTCCTGCCAGTTCTGACTTATTGATAATGGCTGCCTAAAGACTGTGTTGATAAGGACTTTAAGACCACACCTGGGTTCAGGGGAATCTTGCTATAACTGATTACCAATGTCTGCCTAGGGCACAGATTAGGAAATGTTTACATACTTGCCAAATATTCCCGATCCCTAATATCAGTCCTAGGTAGGTTCATTTTGTGTTTAGATTCTGGATCTCTATCTGCCACATGTGGAAGATCAAAATGTTGGCCTATAGTCTAAACACATCTAGAAACAATCCTGGACAAAATTCCTTTCTACCTGTCCCTTTGCCATCTCTGGTTGCAGGGTCAGTGTCTTGGTCCTGACTTTTAAGGTTTTAAGTTTTTAAGCCAAAACCTTGGAGTTGACACTTAATTCTGACCTTCTGATTCTAAACTTTGTCTTTGACTCTGAATAATGTCTTTCTGATCTGCCTGCTTGATCTTTGGACCTCCCAGTTGCTTAAGATGAGAATTAACTTATTCCTAAAGGCTCTAAAAATACAGATCAGGTAATATTTATACGGCATGTTATGTGGATTAGGAAGAAAATGATCAGGTAGTTTTCAGAAGCATGCTTGGCTTGCGCTGACATACTTCCAGCATGCTTGTTAAGAAGTCTAGAGTTCTATGCCCATCCTACTGCCCTAATGAACCAGTTAGGAATATTTTGAAAGACAATTTCCAATAGGGATTATGCACACAATTGTGAGAACCACAGAATTAAGGATCCTGAGTTGGTTCAGAGATTGCTAGCAGTAGCCCTACTTCTGTCATCTTGTGGAATTATGCTTCAATGAAAACCAAAGAATCTTATTATGTAAGGGCTAGAACCCATGCTATTCTGTGCTGATTGATGAAGAATGGCCTATGAGTGGCATTATTGAAGACATATTCCTTCCTTTCAAACACTACTCTTTTTCCAGCATTTTCCCCTGAACAGAAAATGCCTCAATGCTTTTCTTTCTTCTCTTCTCCCTACATTGCTACCCAAATATATAAGTATAGAGGGGAAGACCTTTGAGAACCTTTGACTCCATTCCATTTATATCAAGGTCTACTTTGCCTTGGCAGAGCCAAGTGGTGTGAAGTTTGTCTCCTCATCCTTGTGTAAAAAAAAAAAATTATATATATATATATATATAATAATATGCAATATATATATACACATACACATGCTGGCTTACCTAGAAAGCTCTCCCAACAACAACTGGTTAAAAAGATTTGGATAAACCTAGCATCTACAGGGTTTCTCTTATTTTGGCAGGATAGATTGAATCCTCCCTGTATGAACCAAGCTCTTTTCCAGGAGGCATGCAAAAAATGATAGATAAACCACACACCAAGGCTTTGTTTTCATGGAAAACAATCTCATCCTCCAACGGCCATTGTCAGTGTATAGCAAGGGGGCATTACCACACTTGACTAGCTAGACCAGCTAGCTCCTACAGTGCTGTAACTCTACTATTCGCAGTGTTTCCTTGAATCATTTCAGTTACCTAAAGAGAAATTCCTAAAACCAGGGATCATTCTCTTATGACTAAAGTCTATCTTTTTCATCATGCCTGAGCATGTTGTATGATCCTCATAATCACAGGGCTAGCAGTAATAAAACAAGATAACTATAATATCCTGCATCCTTCTTCACAAAAGCAAAAATATACTGATGGTTGATGTTTCACAAGAAAATAAAAATTTCTCATACTTTGTGCTGTGCTAATGAAATCATCTGATGAGAAATTTCACAAAGATATCCCTATCATAATCAAAATGATTTCAATTTCTGAAAACAGTAAATAGTTATTACTGAACTCACTGCCTAATCTTTGTTTTACCTGATAGAATGGAATCCTTCCACTTAAACACCTAGCCTGGTCAATCTAAACAAAAATGGAAAGGCTGTGATTCTGAATATTGTTAGCTTGGCAATGATGTCTTTTTCTGTGATCTCTGCTGCATTTGTCAATTTCTGCCTTCCACAATTTAAATTCCATGGTTTCATGTACAAAAAATATTTTTTAATTTATCACTCATGCCTCTCTAGCCATATGCCTATCTTTAAGATGTGTGAATTTCCATATAACATTCACTGTTCCCATTTGGCAATTTAGTACCTTTAATTGTGCCAATCAACTATGTAAAACATCACAACCCATTGAGACTATACAAAGAAAGAATACGCGTCTTCAAAACTAGGATACAAAACACACTGCTTGAAGACAACTTAATTATTGGTGTAGTTCAGTTCTACCAGCTCAAAATCTCCTAGAAAAACTGGAACAAGTGAATTCAATTCCTGAAACCCTGTAATACTTTCAGGTTTTTAAATGAGTCGATTATACCCTTGATCTTACTGAAAAGATTCACAGTCATGACCAGAAATGGCTAGAGATGACAGATGAAACGGTAGATACATATATTGTCAAATGTCATTACAGCAGGGCCTATCTATAAAACTGCAGGTATTCCTGCTTTTTACATTCCCCAATGATAAATTTATAAGAAAAGGATTTAATATTTTTAGCCTGTTACATGGGGATTTGTGTTTGTTTTAATAAAAAAATAATTATTATCTTCATAGGCTTTGATAATACACATCGTTTCCCATAAAAAGTTCAATGGTTATCAACTTACTAGCATACATTTGGGAAATTGTTTTCCTTTTTCTTTCTATTGCATTTCACTACCCTAACTCATATTTCACTATTCCCTTGGCCCAGGGATAGATAGAAGCAATAAAATGCAATTCAAGTTGGTTTCACAGACAGCAAACATGCATTATGAATTTGAAACATACTGTTGGAAACACACTATGCTTGTTGAGCATATATTTTAGAACCTATCTAAGGCACTTCATGACTAAAACCATATCTGGAATCATTCACTGTCCTTGGTTTTAGAATTCTCTGTGGTTTTATGAGATACTCATTAAAAAAAAAAAAAAAAGAAGAAGCAAACTAACAAAAAATTCCAAACCCCACAGAGTCCAAATTGATAGCTTCTGAATCACACAATTTAGGTGAGAGACATCTTCTCCAATGGAACACCAGTCAAAGGTCATTAATCATTTACATGATTATATGAGAAGAGAAGTCATAATGAACAGATTTGTGAATTTGTTGTGATTTCTACTTCAATCCTTGTTTTTCTCATTTAGGGAACTAACTCCTTGACTGCTTTAGAGACTTCCCCAAAGTAACATGGAATCAGGCTAGACTCCCTATGTTTTAACTTCTAATCAAGCTATATGTGTGCTCTCTCCTATACAGTGTTCCAGTTAGTGCTCTAGGTCCTGGTTCTAGCTTTAGCTGTACCATCATGCCAGAGCTGACTTCACTGAATGAAGGACAATGCTTATTGCGACCACCATATTAGAACTTCCCAGTTTGTATACACACAAAACCAAATCCAGGTGAGTACAAAAGTCAGTGTACAAATCTCATCTAGAATCATTGCTTTAGCACTGCCTAATTGCATGCCTGTCAAACCTACAGCTAGATAAATATTAATTGCTTTAAGAATCAACACATGAGGGCTGCCTAATTTACATATTCATTAAAATGTTTAACTATATGGGGAGAGCATGTACAGTAACCATATCTAGGACCAACATATTAGGGTCCACTAATTTCACAAACTTTGAGTTTCCACAGCTTGATGGGACCTGCTCTACTACATACTGTCCCTCCCATGGCTAGAAAATTGGGTCTCTCGTATTGCTCTGAATCACTTGATGTGATAAATATATATCTAGTTCTATGGAGCCTAGGATGGAATGATAACATAACTCTCCTATATTCATCCCTATACATCTACTGTATGTATAGTGGATGAATACATATAAGATATATATCATATATATGCAAATATACATATAATATGCAAATAGAACCTCTAATATGTTGTGTTACTCACACTCTAGATCCAATCCACAGTGAAAACCTAGATAGTCACTAAGAAGAGTGAGAGAGAGCTAGTAATAATATAGTAGTAATGACCATCCTCATCCTAATGAAGGATTGTGGCTTTTTTCTCCTACCCCAAGGAAATATATGTGTAAGAAGAGAGGGCAGGTAATGAATGAACAGGAAGGTTTAATTTGGATAGATTACATGATTTTATACTGGATAATCTCTTTCTACATTGAATAATTCTATCACAAATTAACTTGAAAAGCTACCTCTGGTTGGTTTCCAGTGAAATGAATGTAGCACAGTTCTCTGCAGATTTTAGATTCCTGTAGTACTGAAGCCTAGTAATTCAGGATATAAAACTTCTCGTTTTATACAATCAATTTGGTTTCAATATTTACAGAAACAAACATACCTTTGAAATGTGTGGTGTGGTGTGCATTTTCACTTACCTTTTCCGCTGACTGAGCAGTTCCAAAAAAAATGGGAATGAAGGCAAGCCACACTATACATGTTGTGTACATAGTGAATCCAATGGGCTTGGCTTCGTTAAAATTCTCTGGGACACCCCGAGTCTTGATGGCATACACAGTACATGTGACCATAAGAAGAATGCTATATCCCAAGGAGCAAATGATTTGGAGATCTGTAATGTCACATTTGAGAACTCCCCTGGCCTGCTCAGGGTTCATTGTCTTATGTTCATCATAGTCTATGATGATGTTGGGTGGGTCAACACCAAACCAAATGAAAACCCCTAGAAGCTGAACTGATATTAAACTGGAAGTGATTGCCAGCTGTGATGTCGGGCTTATGAGTCTGGGAGCTGTCACTGATTTCTTGCCCTGCTCAAATATGCGATAAATCCGATTGGTTTTTGTCAAGAGGGCTGCATAACTGATGCACATACCCAAGCCCAAGAAAACTCTCCGGAAAGAACACACGGCCACATCAGGTTTGGCTATCATCAGGAAAGTGATAATGTAGCAAAGAAAGATCCCAGTCAACAGAACGTAGCTCAGTTCCCGCCCAGATGCCCGGACAATGGGCGTGTCATTGTAGCGGATGAAAGTGGCCATGACAAAGATGGTGGCGATGATTCCCAACATTGCTAGGAAGACAGGGATGACGGCCCAGGGCGAATGCCACTCTAGTTTGATGATGGGGATATCCTGGCAGCCGGTTCGGTTTTCATTGGGTCTCTGGTCGTAGGGGCAATGCTGACATGTCATCTCATCAAACTGGTACTGGTAGCCATCACATGGCTCACAGGTCCAGCAGCACGGAGTTCCCTTCTGTGTCTTCTTTCTTTGCCCAGGCTTGCATGGCAGTGTGCACACTGAGGGGGGAATCTCCCGGACTCCTTTACCCCACTGCATGTCCTCTATCTGCAGCATAAGAAATGAGAAGGTGTAACTGGCAGGTGAGTTAAAAGAAAAGGGAAAGAAGGAAACAATGATAGCAGCATATGAGACCTGACAAGGTTAAAAAACTACCCACCTCCCCACAGTTAGTATGAACAAAGACCAACGTTTGACCCCAACCATTCCATCACAGCATCCTTACTTCTTGCCACTATGGGGTATACCAAACACACCTGCTTTTCAGAATTTCCTGTGGTTGGGACGCCTGGGTGGCTCAGTCAGTTAAGCATCCAGACTCTTGATTTCTGCTCAGGTCATGATCTCACAGTTCGTGGGATCAAGCCCTAAATCAGTGTGGAGCCTGCTTGGGATTCTCTCTCTCCCTCTCCTTTGCCCCTAGCCTGCTCATGTTCTCTCTCTCTCTCTCTCTCTCTCACTCTCAAAGTAAAGACATAAATATTTTTAAAAAGTCCCTGGGGCAACTATTAAAAAATACAGATTCTTTGTCCCTACCCTACACCTTTCAAATAAGAATATACTAAAAACAAACAAAAAAACAAAAAAACAAAACAAAAAAACTCCCCAAACTAACAAACCCAAAACCCCAACTACCTTTGGATCTTTAACAAATGCCCAGAGGAGTCTTATGAGATAAATTTAAAAAAAATATTTTTTAAGTGATGTGAAATGTCACATACATCTCCCTTATTAGTTGCTTTTTTATAATTTGCTTTAAAATTATTTTAGATGATATTGCAATGTTGACTACCTTCCCTAAAACTCTGTAGGCATCCCTGCCATTATCAATGAGAAATCTTGAAGCAAATTAATTTTAGTCTTATTATTTATGACATAAGAGTAATAAGGTTCATTATTGAAGACTATATAATGGTAGTTGGCCATATCTAAGTGAATAAGAAGCATTTGATAAAAAACAATAATAATATGGTCTGGAGACCTTTCAATATTGACCATGTACCTACCTATTCAGAGATGAAATTTAAAACTAAAATACTGTATACTAGAGGAGGATGAATGTGGATTTGCTTTAATGAGAATAGTGGTTTCCTAGAGAGGAATTCATAATCAACAGTGTTCTGAGAAATAATGTCATTAGAAACAAAGAAAAAGTAGCACGGGGCTGAAATTTCATTGTAGCAGAGATCTCTTACTTGCCAGCAAGCACTAACTCTCTCTCTTTCCTGGTATTAGTTCGTCAGATCTCTTTTCTATGTGTTTGCTGTGAGATAAAACTTACACAGAGGCCCCAGGAGTTGCTTACATGACCCATTCTCTGCCAGTTAATGTACAGCAGTGGTTCTCAAGATTGAGCATGCATCAGAATAACTAGGGGGGCTTCTTACCACCCAGTATACTGGGTCCCACAGTAGATTTTTTGGGCTCTTTGGGTATGGAAGGGATCTGACAGCATGTATTTCTAACAAAATCTTTAGTGATGTTTCTGGGGGTTGTCCAGGGACCACATTCTGTCAAAAATGGATACATTCCAACCTCCTAGCCACAGAATATGGGTCAGGGATGGGATCGTTATAGAATGGAAAGGTATTTAATTTCATTTTTACTGAGATTACGTACAATAAAAATCTTTTGTTTTTGTTGGACTGGGGGCAGCTTGTAGGATGTAAGGATGGCAGTGTGCAAGGCTATAAGAAGGAAGGAGTTTGTAAGAGAAAGAAGTCAACACAAAGGAAAGCATTACTGTAAGAGAGAAGAAGAGAAAGATTAATGAGGAGCCTGTTTGAGCTACTTGAGATAGCCAGGCCTGAAGCATGAATTCCCTAGACCATGCCATTATATAAGCCAGTTAATTCTATTATGCAGAAACACTTTCAATGGTATTTCTATTACTTGCAACCAAGAGTCCTGAAAAATATATGTATTTAATAATTTAAATAAAAATATAAACTAAATATGACTTTAATTAAGTCAGCAAATTAATTTATAGAATAAATGTCAATGAACAAATTTAACTGGTGTTCCCCATACCTTTTTTTTAAATGTTTGTTTACTTTTGAGAGAGAGAGAGAGAGAGAGAGAGAGAGTCAGATTACAAGCAAAGGGAGGGGAAGGGAAAGAGGGAGACACAGATCCAAAGCAGGCTCCTAGCTGTCAGCACCAAGCCCACAGTGCACCAACCCACGGACTGCAAATCATGACCTGAGCCAAAGTTGGATGCTTAACCAAGCGAGCTGCCCAGATGCCTATATTCCCCACACCTTTGTAATACAGTTGGACCAAAAAATAGGATAGAAAAATACTGGAAATATGAGGCTTTTTAAACGTGCATAATTTTAAGAGATAAGGATGAAAGTAAACTAATTTATTGCTCTTGGAAGTTTAGTGCTGTGTTAAAAGAGAATGCAGTGTATGGAAGTGTACTTGCATCAAAAAACCTGAATAAGACCTACATTCAAAATCTAAAACAATAGAACTCCCTTATGACCCAGCAATAGCACTGCTAGGAATTTACCCAAGGGATACAGAAATGCTGAGGCATAGGAGCACATGTACCCCAATGTTCATAGCAGCACTCTCCACAATAGCTAAAACATGGAAAGAGCCTAAGTGTCCATCAACAGATGAATGGATCAAGAAGATGTGGTTTATCTATACCATGGAATACTACATGGCAATGAGAAACAATGAAATCTGGCCATGTGTAGCAACATGGATGGACCTTGAGGGTGTTATGCTGAGTGAAATAAGTCAGGCAGAGAAGGACAAATACCATATGTTTGCACGTATAGGAGGATTAGGAGGAACTTGACGTAGGACCAAGGGGGAGAAGAAGGGCGGAAATGGTGGGGGAAAGGGAGAGAGGCAAACCATGAGAGACTCTTGAATGCTGACAAAAACTGAGGACTGATGGATGTGGGGGGGAGGGGGGGATGGGCATGAAGGAGGGCACTTTGGGGATGAGCACTGAGTGTTATGTAGAAACTAATTTGACAATAAACTATTTGTAAAAAAAAAAAATCTAAAACAAACGTAGGTAACTGTGAAAAATAATGTGAAAAATTAAGCTTCATAAATTATAATAACCTTCTAATGGTTGAATTTAAACTTTAAGCGGAGACCAAAGAATCTTCAGGTGACTCATGTAAACCCATTTGCCTGAACACAAAGCCCAAGTCAGTACTAATAAATCTAACTAAATATAAAACATAATCATCTCTTTCTCAACATCATCAATTTTGAGGCAGTAAGTCACTGGCAGCCATCCCAAAGTCATAAAATTAAGGAAATAATTTGTAATAAGAGATAAAAAGATACACATTAACTTTGCAAATGTCAAATTGCAAGAAATTGGAACCTAAAAAATTGCTATTATTAATACAAAGATTTCCAAATATCAAATTAAAAGGTCCTACTCCTGGTTAACAAGAAAGATTAACAAAAAAATCCCTATAAATGTATTTCATTAGCTAAACTTGAGATTGCCTAAATCTAACACCAGTAGATAGTAATATGCCATATGATTAAACTTGATCTATGGGAATAGATGGAGGGCTCATACAAATATAAAAACAAATTATCATTATCTGTAATATTTTACAGCCAATTTCAAATGTTGCCATCTATTTCTTTCCCCTTGGAATAAAATAAAATGCCCAACAATGCTGAACAGCTTCTCCCCCCCCCCTTAAGTTATCCAAATATATACAAGAGCTATAACCACAAACATTACATTGACTGATTATTTAATTTGTTTTCAATTTTCATTTAAAGTACATCTCAACTCAGTTTAATTGTATATATTACAGCAACAAAGTTGCCTCTTGCACCAAATGAACAAAAGTCTAATTTACTTGCTTTGCCAAAAAAATCATTATTGAAAATATATGTGTTGAATGAAGATACCAACTAACCTTTAAAAGCTCTAGGAAGTGAGAATTTTTCTAAAGCAATACATATGATTTGTGTATATCTATACCCATCCACACATACTCAGTGGCTTGTTTCATAAGAAGAAACAGCTACAAATGCTCATGGATACTTATTGAAGGGAGAATAATCATTTAGCACTATGAATATTCAAGTATAGTGTCAATTTACTTTGCCAGAGGCTAGTAGGAATGTAGATATCTATTTTATTTTGATGACTGCAACACAACTGTGTTTCAGTTAGCTGGAAAGGCAAAGTGAAGGTGCATAAAGATTAGAAAAAAAGGACTAGGATGTTTATTACCATCTTCTTTAGAAGATACAGTTTACATTCCCTGATAAGGATGCATTTTCCTCCTGGACACCATTGTTTATAGTTATTGGATACTGAATCTCTCAATAGCTGGCTCAAGTGATGTTGAAATAGATAATATGGATAAGGAGATCAATGGCTTAGGAAAGAAACGTAGTTCTGGCCAATGAAACAAAAATAAGCTTGATGCAGAAACCTAGGAATGTGCTTCTTCACTCTTAAAAGAGACACAAAGAAAGATATACTGTCTTTAGCCTTTGAACTCTGATGTATGCTAACATGATGTATGGAGCTGCAGTAGCCATTATTTAACCATGAAGACACAAGCTTATGGAAAAAAAGCCAATATCCTGAAGACAGAAAACAAAAGCCAATATCCTGAAGACAGAAAACAAAAAATAAAAAAAGAATTTGTGTCTTTGGTGGTGCTGAAATAACTTCTGGGCCTAAGATGGAGCCACTCCTGCTCAAGATGGCACATCAGCAAACCAAACTTGGATAAGTTCTGTGTCCTTATAAACAAGTTCCCTTTGACCAGACACACTGCATACCAAATTAGCCAGTCTCAGAATGCCAAACCAACTCTGAGCCCTCTTGCCCCAAACAAGATGGACTATATGGCCTCAAACAATGAGTTCTTTTTTGTTTGTCTTTTCCTTGTTATTTATTCTTTATCCTGTAAAAAAGTTCTGCCTTCCACCCCATTTTGTGGTTCTCTGACACTGTCTAGTTCATGAAGTGTTAAAGTTAGTTTATATCATCTATATGATCTTCAGTAATCATTCTTTAACAGTAGTAATATAAC